TTAAGTTGAAAGTAGGAAAGGTAGAGTTTCAACCTCATGATAGTGATCGTCATAATTCTATGTGTTTGAGAAGATTATCAAACGATGTCCACAATCTCAAAGGCTTTCCTTGGACATGGATGACTTGGGCATTCTCTAGATCTCCTTTGAAAGTCTAGAAAATGATTGTGAAAGTCAAATTAGTTAAAAATAATAAAATAGAGTTCTAATGTTACAATGATAATGTGTTGGAATCTTAAGTGTTCGGAGTAAACTATTATGTAATGTATATGATCTCAAAAGTTCTCTTTGGACATGGACAATGTGGGCAATATCTAAATCTTCTTGTGAAGTTTAAAAATCAATGAAGTAGGTCAACAAATTATTTCTAGCAGTTGTCACTTGACGAAGCGGAAAAATAGTGACTTTGTGAATCTTCAACAATTGTCACCTGACAGAGATAAGCTAGATGGAGGTGAGAAACATCTTAAAGAGCTTCATCTCCAAGTCCGCACAATAAAAATAGACTTTTCATACAGTTGGTACGCTCTTAAGAGGTGACGACTCATCTCTTAGACGATTGTCTTCTTCCTGACCAATTTATTTGTAGATCAATCGGAGATGATTTACTCGATAGATTCATATTTTTTTTATCTATAGTTATTTGACAATTTTAGTAACGATGCTCTATGAATCTTGTTGATGATATTTTCGTCAATGATTAAGCAATTATGATGGCTTAATCATTAATATATAATATGTAGAAAAATAATGATTTAATTAGATAAAAATATGAGTTTTGGATTTGGTGAGATTTGAACCTGCCATATCCTTATAAAATGATGTCATAAGAGTATCTTCTTCTTATAAATAAGGGGTATTTTAGCTATTAAAATTATTAAAAACTTTTTGAGAAGTTGTGATGCCAGTTTAGTCCCACATCAATAATTTTTTATGTTTTGAGGTGAATATATAGTAACACAAGATTCTATGATCAATTAACCTCTCTTTCACGTGTGTACAACCACTCCTTGCCCCACACTTGATCGGCTACTAGTGACATGAAAGGAGAGTGACACACATAGTGTCTCTTATTGGTCCTTAGCCACTCAAGCCCCCTACTTGTAGCTCCACTCAATTGTGCTTCTGACCCGCTTGCGAACCCGGCTAGGCGGTAGGTCCCCCTTTTTTATATATATTTTAATTTTATTTATCTTCATTTATCTCAAAAATATGATTATAAAAATTCACATAAAATCACATAATTAGCCAAAAAATTATATTAACTAATTAAAAATTATTTTTCACAATTTAACATAAGTATAAATCTATTTATCATGAGTTAAGACTTAAAATATATTATTAATTAATTATTAACTCATGATAATAAAAACTTATGACCCATTTACATGAGAAAGAGTAAAATAAGTATGTGAATACCCTTATCAAGTGACGTCAAAAAGGTATCTCCTTATAAACTAGGCGTATTTTAGGTATTAAAATCATTGAAAACCTTTCGAAAAGTTGGGATAGGAATTTAGTATCACATTTATTATTTTTTGAGTTTTGAGATAAATATATGGTAATAGATCTTTCTATAGTCAATATTGTCCTCTCATGTGTGTGCGACTATTCCTTGCCTCATGCCTGTTGGCCACTAATGATGTGGAAGGAGAGTGACACACACATAACCCTTACTAGTCCTTAGCCACTCAAGCCCCCTACTCGCAGGTCCGTTCGACTGTACTTCTAATATGCTTGCATGCTCAACTGGGTGGTAGGTCCCCTTTTTTTCTATATTATTTTTATTTTATTTATTTCTCTTCATTTATTTTATAAATATGATTATAAAAATTATATAAATTTACATAAATTCACATAATTAACTAAAAAATTATATTAACCAACTAAAAAGTACTTTTCATAATTTGACATAGATATAAGTCTATTTATCATGATTTAAAGATTAAAATCTATTATTTATTAATTATTAACTCATAATAATGAAGACTTACTACCCCCTAGTCGACAACTCAAACATGATGCTTTTTAGTTAACTAATGTCACCACTTGTACCTTCAAACAGCTCAAACAAGCTCTATCCTCTACCCCAATCTTAGTATTATCAAATTTCTTTTTAACCTTTGAATTAGAGGTGGACGCCTCTAGTGTTGGCCTGGGTGCAATTTTTATATAGAACCGACGACTTATTGCTTATTTGAGTAAGGCATTAGCACCTCATCATCATCTCAAGCTAGTTTATGAACTTGAATTAATGGAGATTGTGTTATCTATTAAAAAATGACAATATTTTTTTATTGAGGAGGCTGTTTATTGGTTACACCAAACAAAGGAGTTTAAAGTTTTTATTGGAACAATGAAGATTGCTCTTAATATCAATGCTGGTTGATCAAAAAAATATTGGGCTATCAATTCGACATCAAATTTAAAGTCGGTGTTGAGAACAATGTAGCAGATTCCCTCTCCCAAATGCCTCATATATTGACCCTCTTGGCTACTTTTCCCTATATCCTCTTATTGGACCAACTGCATGTTGATCTTCATGCTTATTTAACGACTAACCAAAATATTCTTGATCTTCAAAACAATACTCACGACTAACCTCACTATTATGTGCATAGGGGTCTCTTAGTTTTACAAGGGATGATTATTTATTCTAGTGAATTCTTCCTTCATTTTATTAAATTCTCCATGAATATCATAATAGTGTCTTGGGTGACCACTTGAGATTTTTCTACACTTATAAGTGTATTCACCAAGAATTTTATTAGGACAATATGAAGTCAACTATCAAATAGTATGTGGCAACCAATTCAATTTGTTATCATAACATGTCTGAAGCATTATCTCTAGTGGGTCTCTTGCAAACTCTAACTATTATGTAGTAGAGTTCAGATGTCATCTCCCTCAACTTTCATTGATGGGTTATGTGACTCCATTGGTTTCAATTTCTTACTCATTGTTGTTGATAGACTAAGTAAATTCACATATTTTTCACCACTTTGGCACCCTTATACAGCCTTAGATGTTGTTGTGGTATTCATAAAAGATGTGGTTAAGCTTCATGAATTTCCTCTTACCATTATCTTAGACTGTAACCAAATATTTTTCAATCATTTTTATAAGGAATTGTTTCAACTTAAAGACACTAGACTCCACTAGAGCATCACTTATCATCTGCAAATGTATGGCCAAATAAAAGTTAATCAATGATTAGAAACCTATTTACGATTCTTTGCATTTGAGAATCTCAGCCACTAGTATAGGTGACTTCCTTGGGTGGAATATTAGCATAGCATCAATTATAATATTTCTTTGAAGCTCAATCCTTTTCATGTCATTTATGGTTGTGATCCTCTACCCCTTATCTATTTTGAACATCAACAAACAATTGTGATTTCTATCAACAAATAATTGTAGGAATGTGACAATCTTGCTCCATCTTAAAGACCATCTCCGCCAAGCACAAAATAGAATGAAGCTTGAACCCAATAAGCATTGTTGTAATTTATCATTTAGTATTAGTGATATAGTTTATCCCCAACTTCGTCCATATCACTTGCAAACTCTCACCCGATGGCCCAAAGAGAAACTGGCTCTGAAATATTTTAGATCTTATAAGGTGATTGACCATATTAGCTAGGTCGCTTCTCAGCTGGAGATTCACCTAATTTTTCATGTTTCTCTGGTGAAGCCAGCTCTTGGCCCACACAACTCTCTCAAGCCTGTTTCCTCCATTCTTTATGAGAATTTGATCTGAAACATGGATCCTAAAGCTGTCTTACAACGCTGCTCCTCAAGTGGTCGTCACAACATTTTGGTCAAATGAAAGATTTTATTGACTTTTGAATCTATGTGGGAGTCTTTGGACAAATTTTTGGCAACTCCACATAAGGGGCAGCCCAACCCACTACTACTATCACTTACATAAGGAGAGGAGTAACTGAGAGGATATTCGGAAAGGAGTCGGAGGACACTGAGTGTCCCTCTACTACCTTCTTTGTCCATATGTGTCACTGCTCATAGTCCAGTCAAGTGTCCCGCTGAGTTATTATCTTCTTGTAGTGTCATTATTCCTTCGTCATTAGTCGTCAGCATTTACTGTAGATTTCTGTTTATTGATTATTTTATTCCACCAAGGTCTCTATTCTCTTCACTCTCTCTCACCCGAGGTCATTATTCTCTCATATTATCCGAGGCAGGCGCGAGAAAGGTCAACGAAAGGTAGGTTCCTACCAGTGCACCCTCGGGTCACCCTCTCCTGCCCCTCGCTGTGGACGAGAGGGTTAAATGGCCGACCACTGAGAGAGAGACAGCCGGGGTGGGGTGGTTGGGGATTAAATGCACCGCTAACCGAGTAAGGGAATCGGAAAGCGAAAGATTCGTCGCGAGACCCCCGTCATGTCTATTATTATCCATCTTAAACTTGTGGTCGACTCGGAGGATAGATAACCCAGGCATGCCTGCGCCGTCAGATGGTCTGTCGGTCACGTCATGGCGCGACGCCGCGGATTTTTAGTATCTACCTTAAAAGCATACTGTTAGCGCTGATGCCGAAGGGTCGCCCTCGGTCGACACCTATCCGTGGACGTATGCCTTTCTCTTATGTCAACGACGACTATCGAGGTCCATGACGAGTCGACAGGGATACCGGTTTGGTGGGGAAGATTCAGACAGTGGCGGCTTGTGTGATCCACAGTTAGCGAGGAATAGACCGCCTCCGAGGATCGTCGGGAGAGTGAGAAGAAGCGGTCGCCCCGCGAAACCTTCCCCAGAAGGAGCACCACTGGCTTCGGTTCCATGCCGTCTAGGGTAGGTGATACTCGTGATTCTCTGTATAAGCTGCGTCCGGGCCGGCAAGCCAAAGAGAGCTCTTCTCTCAGTCTTCGAGTTCGTTCAGGGCAACGGTGGGCTGCCGGAGCTGATAGCTGTGAAGGGTTCGGCCTGGAAGACTGGACGGTTCCATCATTCGAGCCGGCAACCGTTGTTTCAGGCCCGGCATGGCCGCCTCCGTCCGCCGGAGAGCCGCACTGCCCCCAGCGCCGCCGCCGCTGCTGTTGCTTCTGATATGTGTTGCCGGAATTCGATCAGTTTCTTCCTCCACAGACCCTTCAGATAGTGAGCATTCCGTATTTTCTGCATCTCTCTCTCCCTCCCTCTGACGCACGAAGCACTCGAGTTCCCATAATAAATGCGGCGCTTATCGGTCTAACCGATCATTACCCATGTTAAAAGCTGGATTGCGAAACACGCATGCTTAATTACAGACGCCTGCAATTAGTCGTTCGGCCATGTTCGATGACTTCTGAGCAAAAAATTTCAGCTGCTGTGCTGAGAGCTCTGATGGAAGACTGGGGGAACAAGCCGCCGAGCTGGAGAAGGTCGGACGATCCCTGCGGCACCCGCTGGGAAGGAGTCACCTGCAACAATTCAAGGGTCACTCAATTGTCAGACCCTCCACCCTCCTCTTTATACAGGGCCCCTTCCATCTCCGACGTCTTAGGAGCAATCCCCTTAACGTCTGCATCTCTTTCAGGAGCTTGTCGACCATGGGGCTCAAGGGGACGCTGAGCGGAGACATCGGGCAGCTCACAGAGCTTCTGTCCCTGTAAGCTCCTCCCATGATACATCACCATCTCTGTTTCTTCCATTCTAATGGGATCTAAGCAATCAAAAGGGAACTGCAGTGATCTTTCATACAACAAGGATCTAGGTGGACCGATCACCAAATCCATCGGGAATTTGAAGAAGATCACGACTCTGTAAGACTCATCATCCCCAGATTTCACAGCTGCTCTCCATCATTCTTCCTCCTCGTCGGCCTTTTGGTCTGATTAATTTGGCGTCAATGGGTGTGTGGGGTCTTAGGATCTTGGCCGCCTGCAGCTTCTCGGGGAGCATCCCGTCGGAAATCGGCGATCTCGAGGACCTCTTGTACCTGTAAGAGTAACCAGCTCGAACTAATGGACTTGTTGACGAAGACAAGAAGTGTAACCGTGACGAAACTTGATTACCTGAATCCATCTCACTTTTCTTCGCAGAGCTCTGAACAACAATAACCTCACGGGCATCATATCCCCGAGCTTTGGGAAGCTCTCTAACCTTTATTGGTTCGATATCGCGGAAAACCAGCTCACCGGGCCGATTCCCGTCTCCTCAGGGAGCACCCCCGGATTGGATCAGCTCCTCAAAGTGAAGCACTTGTGAGTATTTCTGTCTAAAATCAAACAATAAGGAGAAATATAAGGAGATTCTCATCTCCTCGAAGGATAATCTTCGGAGGCTCATGCTAACCAGAATCTGTCGGCCTGCCAGCCATTTCAACAATAACCAGCTATCGGGAACCATCTCGGAGAATCTCTTCAGCTCCAACATGACCTTGATCCACATGTAAGAAGCGGCGCCGATATGCCTGCCAGGGATTTCCGGCCATGGAGGGTCCGCATCTCCTGACTGTTGGTTTGCCCACGTCTTGTAGACTCTTCGACGGGAATAGACTGACGGGGGGCATTCCGGAGTCGCTGGGCCTCGTGACGAAGCTGGAGGTTCTGTGAGTACCCATTCTCCGCCGAAGCTCAGTTTTCTCGTTTGTGATGAACAACCTCCTCTCCACTGCGTAGTGTTGGACTGATGATGGATCGATCTCCCCCATCTGTCTGTCTTCTCTGCAACAGTCGGCTCGATAGGAATGGTCTGACCGGCCCAGTTCCTTCCGGGATCGGCAACCTGACGGCCCTCAGAGAGCTGTAAGAGTATTCCCTGGAGCAGGGCCACCTCCTTCATCCGCTGCCTCGCGATTCCTTCTCATCCGCTACCTCACTCACATCTGGTTCAGGAACCTGGCGAATAACCGACTGACGGGAAAGATTCCTGATCTCAGCGGGTTGAACATCGTGAACTATGTGTAAGCAGCTTCCAATTACTCGGCCGGCCGTCGGGGCCGCCGCGTCCTTCGCCGTCGTCTGGTAGTTCTCTAACGTGTCGTCCTCACTGACCGACAGAGACTTGAGCAACAACTCCTTCAGCACGTCCGAGGCTCCAGCTTGGCTCGGGAAGCTTCAATCTCTGACCGCTCTGTGAGTCTCCGGATAACCCATCCGACTGCTAATCTCTTGAGGAATGGGGAGCCATCTGTGACCGTCGTCGTCTTCCTTCCTCGTCCAGGGTGATTCAGTCGGGGAATCTCATCGGCGAGGTCCCGTTGGCGTTTTTCGGCTTCCCGCAGCTGCAGGACGTGTAAGCTCTCTGCGACAGACTTGCACCACCATTATCTGGAAACTCTCAACCTGTTCTTGGAAAGCGCCTTACCGTTGACTCTCGGCTCGTGCAAACCAGGATCCTGAGCGACAATAGCTTCAATGGCACCCTCAATATGGGGACAAACATAAGCCCCCACTTGAAGGGAGTAGATCTTCAGAACAACAACATCAGCGGCATCTCGTTCGGATCGTTGTACGTATTCAAGCTGATGTGAGTGAACACGGGCCTTCCCCTCTTCCCATCAAAAGCCAACTTTTCCCTGGAGAGAGACCCGCTTCCCTTCCTGGATGTAACTCGGCGGTGGGTGCAGGCTCATGGGAAATCCTATCTGCGACGGCAGTAACTGGGGCAACAATTACTGCCAACAGCAGCTCCAGCAGACTCCCTACACCACCGATCTCTCCCACTGCGGCTCCTCGACGTGCCCCGAGGATCAGAGTCTCAGTCCCCATAACTGTCAATGCGTTTTCCCGTACGTGGGGACGCTGACATTCAGAGGGCCCTTCTTCAGGGACTTGAGCAACAGGACAAGGTTCCAGGTTCTCGAGACGAGCCTCTGGACGAAGCTGCATCTCGCAAACGGGGCAGTGTCCCTCCAGAACCCCTTCTTCGATAGCGACAACTACCTCCAGATTCAGCTGCGGCTCTTCCCCTCGGATGGGCCGTACTTCAACCGCTCGGAAGTGATGAGGATTGGGTTCCAGCTGAGCAACCAGACCTACAAGCCTCCCCCCGAGTGGGGGTGGGGGCCTTATGTATTCGTCGCGTTATCCTACCTCTTCCCAGGTATCACCTGATTGTTCTTCATCTTCTTCTTCTTCTTCTTCATCATCTGGGGAAACAACGCGTTTCAGCTGAGGAGGCCGGTGGCGGGAAGACGTCGATTGGCACGGGCGTGGTGGCCGGGATAGCGGCCGGAGGCGCTATCCTAGCGGTTGGGATGATATTCCTGGCCGTCTACGCCATGAAGCAGAGGAGAAGGGCTCAGAGGGCCGTGGAACAGAGTAGACCTTTTGGTGAGTTTCGGAAGAACAGGATACCTGGATCTCCACCCCGCCATTGTTTCCTTATTTCTTGGCTCGTTTCCTTCAGCATCATGGGGGTCGGCGGGGAAAGACGCCAGCGGCGCGCCGCAGCTGAAGGGAGCGAGATTCTTCTCCTTCGACGAGCTCAATAGGAGCACCAACGGCTTCTCAGAAGCTAATGAGATCGGATCCGGAGGCTACGGGAGGGTAAAAAAAACCATTCATGTCTCCATCTCTCGGCCTTCCCTATGATTTCTGCTTCATCGAGAGGCCCATCGTGAATTGTACTCCTCTTCCCCCCGATCCTCAGGTCTACAGGGGCGTTCTTCCGGGGGGCCAACTCGTCGCCATCAAAAGAGCGCATCAGGGATCCACGCGAGGTGCGCAGGAGTTCAAGACCGAGATCGAGCTGCTCTCGAGGGTCCATCACAGGAACCTCGTTGGCCTCGTCGGCTTCTGCTTCGACCAGAATGAACAGATGCTTGTCTACGAGTACATCCCCAACGGAACCCTAAGGGAGAGCTTGTCCGGTGAGCTAACCGCTGAAGGAAATTCTCCGGCGAGGACCATGAATCCCTCCGTAACCGGAGTAGATCTTCGTGCAGGGAAGAGCGGGATCCAGCTCAACTGGAATTGGAGGCTGAGGGTCGCCCTTGGCTCGGCGAGGGGACTAGCCTACCTCCACGAGCTCGCAGATCCGCCGATCATCCACAGAGACGTCAAGAGCAGCAACATCATCCTGGACGAGGATTTGACGGCCAAAGTTTCCGACTTTGGTCTCTCCAAGCTGATCTCTGACTGGGAAAAGGGACACGTCTACACCCAAGTCAAAGGAACCCTGGTGAGACTTCCTGCTTCCCTCCCTCCCCAGAAGTGAACTCTCCCCTTCTGTTCGCTGAGGGTCTCATTGGGTGTTCTCTCTCTCTCTCTCTCTCTCTCTCTCTCTCTCCCGCTCTCTCTCTCTCTCTCCCCCCCCTCTCTCTCTCTCTCTCTCCCGCTCTCTCTCTCTCTCTCTCTCCCCCCTCTCTTCTCTCTCTCTCTCTCTCTCTCTCTCTCTGTGTCTGTGTCTGTATCTCTCTCTCTCTCCTCTCTCTCCCTCTCTCCCCTCTCTCTCTCTCCCCCCCTCTCTCTCTCTCTCCCGCTCTCTCTCTCTCTCTCTCCTCTCTCCCCCCTCTCTCTCTTCTCTCTCTCTCTCTCTCCGCTCTCTCTCTCTCTCCCCCCTCTCTCTCTCTCTCCCGCTCTCTCTCTCTCTCTCTCTCTCTCTCTCTCTCCCCTCTCTCTCTCTCTCTCCCCCTCTCTCTCTCTCTCTCCCGCTCTCTCTCTCTCTCTCTCTCTCTCTCTCTCTCTATCTTTCTTTCTCTTTCTCTGTCGCAGGGCTACCTCGATCCGGAGTACTATATGACCCAGATGCTGACGGACAGGAGTGACGTCTATAGCTTCGGGGTGGTGATGCTGGAGCTGATCACCGGGAAGGTACCCGTCGCGAAGGGGAGATACATCGTTCGCGATATCAGCGCCACCATGAACTCGCAGGACCGGGACCTATGCGGCCTGACGGACTCCATCGATCCGTACCTCCGCAACTCGCCGGCCCTCGCCGGCTTTGGCAGGTTCGTCGATCTGGCCATGCGCTGCGTCGAGGGTTCGGCGGCGGCGCGCCCCACAATGAGCGATGTCGTGAAAGAGATCGAGTCCATCTTGCGGGACGAAGGGGTCAACACGGCCCCCCCCTCTTCGGCCTCCTCCGCCACAGACATCAGCGCGGCGAGCGGCGGCGGCGGCCGCGCCCGCCCCCGCCACCCCTACGGCGACCCCGTGGTGAGGAAGGAGGTGAGCAGCGACTCATTCGACTACGGCGGCGTCTACGCCTTGCTCGCCATGGTAAAACCGAAGTAGCAGAACCGAGTTCCCCTGATGCAAGACGATCTAGCCCCCCATCATTTGAGGAAGGTGGAGCCGTTCAAGACGGAGAACTGGAAACGCATGAAGTGGGGTACTTGGATCTCGCTGTGGAACCAACCGTCCGCCGCTCACGTCGCCATCGAAGACGACCTGAAACAGGCGCATTTATCTTTTATTAAGAACCGTTCAGTCTTGCTGTTTCAGTTACCCACTAAGTTCCACCGTCGCCCCGGCTTGGGTTGGTCAGAGGACCACGCCGCTCCCGGTCTGGAGCTTCTCCTCCCCCCCCCCTCTCTTCCCCCACTTCTTCTTCCTTCCATCCCGTCGCCGTCAGCTTGCCCTCACCTTAGCCACAGCCCAGCCCACCTCTCGCTGTCCCTGCTGCCTGCTGCCGTCGCCCTCATTTTCACCTCCACCTTCAACCGTCGTCACCGTCTGCCGCCGCCACCGCCTCCATCCCTGCCTCCGCCCTTCACTGTTCTAACCCCCCACTCGCTGCCACCGTCGACCACCGTCGCCATCCCTGCTTCCGTCGCCCTTACCTTCGCCCTCCCCTTCCATCGCCGCTAGCCCTCGAATCGATACCTGCTGCCACCATCGTCCGCCACCGTTTCCATGATCATCCGACGGCCTCCACCGTCGCCGTCTTCCGCCGTCGCCGCCGTTCTGCCTTCTGGCCGCCCGCCCAGTCGCTAACCCTACTATTCTCTCTCGCCGTCGCCGCCCGATTCGCCCATCTCTCTCCTTCCGGCTGGGGTTTTAATCGAACCGGATCGTGAGCCCTGGCCTCCCGGCCCAAACGGTCCACTTCGAACCACACCAGTCCGCCTCCTGATTCAAGTCACCCGGTCAGTGGTCAACATAATCGGTCAACGGTCAAATCTTCATCCAATGGATCTAAATGCTCTAGTATATCTTCTCCACTCTCTCCGCTTCATTTGTTGATTTAATATACTTTCTTGCTACGGTCGCATGAGAGACCACAGGATAGCCACCTTTGCATGTTCATATGACCTTAACCTTGTGATGGGATATTATCTGATTAATTAAATTACAAATATCTGACTCAATAGTTTATCTAAACTATGTATTTCGGTCATTTTATTATTGTGGGGAAAGTCTTGACCTATATGAGACTCCTTACTCTTCTTTCTAAGTCCTTTGTCTAAATCTGTTTATTAACTTTAGCTGTTATCCCCACTGCATATATTCTTCACCCTGTATCATCCTCTCTCCTCCCCATTTACAAAAAAAAAACAAGCTTGATGAAAGTTTGAAGATAACTTTTATTACATTGAAGTTGGAGAATCAAAGATTTTCTTTTCTGATGAAAACCTAGGAGAGGGGAGCTTAAGGTCCCTTAGGGGGCACTTTTTTGATGTTTGAATATAGAGCCAAGATGACAAAGTGAGAGAAGTGGGGGGTCATAATCAATACTTCAAATAGAAAACGGTATTGTCTAAATATTTTCTATCATTGTTAAGAAAATTCAGCAATTTTAAAATTTATAAATGTTAGAAAATAAGTTAATTCAGAAATATTTAATTTTATAAGTTTTTTCCAGGTTGAACACAAAGAAGATAAAAAATTACTTTGATGTGGAATTAATTTCCAATTGATAGATTAATTTTCTAGAATTTTACTTATAAAAAATAATAAAAATAATTAGAAAAACCAAATTAGCGATTTTGATGTCACGAGATGTCAACTTGTGAAGAATACTCTCAAATTTGAGTTGTCAAAAATATTTCTCAAAATCAAAGCAAAAACACTTAGAATAAACTTTGATTTTAAAAGAGAAATTGTTCGTAACACAATATAGAACTTAATCAAACTTTTTATAAATTAAAACAAAGTAAAGATCATGTAAAGATTCAAGTTTTATGAAAAAATAGGCAGAACAATTGTGGATCAAATTTCCTCCTTAATTTGATCTATTTGTGCAAGTGTGGTGCACCGAGTAGATTCCTACATGGTCTTGTGGATGAATGATGATTTTAACAACTATCACTTGCCACTAAATCGACTGTCTTTGGTCCCATGGCATGCTGAGCATCATATGATTAGACCATTGTGAATCGATGCTGATCAAGAACTTTAAGTTCTTGGTATTGTGGCGCTTCACTCACCATTGAATTAGCCTCATCTAGTCACGTGGTGCATTGATTGATGCAAGATCAATCCATCGTGAATTGCTGCAATATGAGCACTTTTAAGTTTCAGGTATCATGATGCATCATCACCTACCGTGGGATTAGCCTTTTCTAATTATATGGTGTGTTGAGTCTTATAAGATTTGTCTATCGCAAACCAATACCCTAAAACATAGAGAAAAGCTTCAATCCCACATCAGATTTTTTGATAGAAATATCACATATATATTATAATATTTCCTTTTCCATCTTACAAGTCTCTAATCCAAGTGCAAGTCATAGGCTGCAAGAATGGTTGTCTAGTGGCCCATTATGATAATAAAATATTATTATAATAAATATATTTTCTATTTTCTATTTTTAAAAAAAGAAGAAATACATTAACTCCTCTAACCTCTATCCTTCAAAATGAACTATATAAAGCTACATTTCTTTCTACAAATTAAAAAAAACTAAAATGAAACAAATTAATAACTAAAAATCAAGCATTAACATTTTTCTTCATTTACCCCATTTGCATCATATTTTCTTGAAATTGTTGTTGGTGCTGCTTAAATTTGTGTTGCATCTCTTGTTAAAAAATTACTAGACTTTGCATCATTTGACTTATCATTTACTGCAACATACTCATAGAAGAATTAATTTACAAAGATGAAACATTAGATGAAAAACCCAGACTTTGGGCAAATGGTAGCATGATTTTTTTGCTCCTGAATATCCAACTAACCAATTAATTTCTTATAACATACTATATTTTTCTTTGACAAATACGCCAACAGCTTTGAAATGAAAAATCTTTTTTATGCAATTCCAATAGCACGCTTAGTGTCACATTAGATGAATAACATAGATTAACTTGCATAGATCTAGATTTATTTTCAGTTGGTTTATTTTGAGAAAATTGAGAAAAAAATGAATTATGGATGAATAACATAGATTAGTTGGGTGACTTCTCCAATTAGGATTATGTCCATGACATGAGCACTAAATTTAGAATATCCATATGTAGCTTGAGCTTCAGCTATATTTGATGATTCAGGTTGTTCAACATGTGGACAATTTTCTTTATTATGTTTCCTATCTCCACATTTTGAGCAACCTAAATATGACACATTAGAAGAATTAAAATTATTTTTAGTCATGAAAATATCAAGCTTTTCATACAAAAATTTCATGTTATTCATTTACTATTTATTCTCTTTCAAATCAGATTTCAATTTTATATCCTCAATTTTTTTTGTATCAATTATTCCTCCCTTTCTATTTGAACTTATATCATAATTAGATGCAAAGGCTTGATTCATTGAATTTTCACTCAAGTTTTCTAAAACATTATATGCATCATCTTTACTTATATTTAAAAATAATTCTTCACATGCTCCATCTACTATTTGCTTAAAAAGGGGAAGTAATTTATTATAAAACATTTCAACTATTTAACCTTTAGGAATACTATGGTGTGGACATTTTCTCATCAAGTCTTTCATTCTAGCCCATGGCCCATGAAAAGTTTTTTTTGAATTTTGTGAAAAATCTAAAATTACCTTCCTCATGGTTTTAGTTTTTACTCTATAATAAAATATGTCTAAAAAATCTTAAAATAATATAGTGAATGTTCTATTATTTCCATCTAAAGTACAAAACCAATAACTAACTTCATCCTCAAGAGAAAATAGAAATAAAGTTAGTCTGATAGAATCATCCACTTCCCTAATGGTAGCATAAATTCTTTGAAATTCTCTTAGATAAGCATAAGGATCTTCATGTTGACGGGCATAAAAAGTAGGTAACATTTTAAATATACTAAGTTTAATTTACTTATCAGAAATAAGGTTTTGTAAAAGGTCTTCACATGAATATGGGGTGAAATTATCCTTCAATAATCTAGGTGGTTGATTGGCATTTTGAGGATTTATATTTTTAAATTTTGTAATAGAAGACTTTTTCTTCCTAATTTCAAAAAATTCTAGCCTTGAGTTTAATGATCTCTTACTTAGCACGGACCATAGAAAGTAAAGCAACACAAACTAATAAAATAATACAATTTGAAAAAAAATAAACAAAGACAACTATCGTAATTTTTTATAAATAGATATTTTTTATCTATCACACTGATCATAAATATTAGTAATTTTTAAAAACCTTCTCTAACAATGGTGCCAAAATTTGTTTGAATATTTTCTATCATTATTTAAAAGATTCAATAAATTTAAAATTTATAAATGCTGGAAAATAATCCAATTAAAAAATATTTCATTTTATCCAAGTTGAACACAAGGAAGATAAAAAATTAGTTAGTTATATTTATAATTTTCAATTGATACACTATTTCTTTAGAACTTTTAATTAATAAAAGTAATTAAAAAACTAAATTATGGATTGTGACGTCAACATACATTAGCCCATGAAGAACATCCCTAAATTTGAGTTGTTGGAGATACATCGACTTGTATTTCTCTAAAACAAAGCCAAAATATTTTGAATTAAATTTTGATTTCAAAGGAAAACTTATTTGTAACATGATGTAGGATTGAATCAAACTTTTTATGATGTAATATGATGTAGTAAAAATCATGTAAAGATTCAAGTTTTATGGAAGAATGATTGGAATAGTCATTGATTGAATTTCCTCTCGAATTCAATCAATGTGTGTAGGCCCGGTGCACCGAATAAATTCCTATATGATCTCGAGTCAATAAATGATGATCCAACAACTATCACTTGCTAGAATTGACCAATGGTGGTGATTCGACACTGAGCATAAATTCTTCACTATTTCTATCAGGTGTAGAATGGGACAATTTCATGGATGAAGTTTAGTTTTTGTAGTGACTGAATTAT